CCGCTGCTGCCGCTGCCGCTGCCGCCGCCGCCGCCGCCGCCGCCGCCGCCGCCGCCGCCGCTGCTGCTGCTGCTGCTGCTGCGCGGTTCTTCTGAAGTCTGACTCTGTCTGTCTATCTGTCTCTTTGGTCATGCAGCTCATACTTGCATTGATTGTGAACTAATCTCTTCCTGAGGTTCCTGGCTCAAATTCTTGCCGTCTGACGTTCAGAAATATTAGTGAGCTTGCTCAACGCCTGGGGCTTCGAGGTTGTGGGTTTGTTCGTCGATCATATTCCCATTTGGCCAGACCATAGATACTGCAAAACAGCGCGATCGCTTGCCAGAGTGACCATGCTCACCATCAGACGCACCGAAATTCCAAGAACAACACTATGGTTTGGTACGTCTGGCTCGTTCTCCTGCAGCATCGGTTCGCATGGCGTACCGCGAGCAGCCCGGAAGATGGATTAAAGCACTGGACAGACGATTCTTCTTGTCAGGGTCATCTCTGTTATTTCCGCTGTTCCAGACAAAGACGCGGGTGAGATGGTGAGAAACATGGTCATATGGGTACGATGTTTGATGATCTGTGCTCTGGCAAAGCACATTTGATTTATTTGATAGTACTGAGTCAGTTTGTTCGTTGTCTGGTTGGTTGGTTGAGGTTGGTCGGTCAGTTCAGCCAGCTAGGTCATCCGCAGCAGTGAGTTTGCTAGGTAATTGGCCAGCTAGCTAACAATCCGTGAGTTTGTTTGGTACCAGTTCGACAGTAAGTCAGTTGGTCAGTCAGTCGGCTAGACTCCTTGAACGAGCGAGCGAGGGATGTGAGGAAGTGCATGTTGAGATGTGGCGAGTGAGTCCGGGCATTTCAGTCAGCTACTGCGTGCATGGGCTCGTCCTCACCTTCGGAGCCAGAAGAAGAAGACAGGGAGCGCGCTGTAGACATGTTTCTCTTCCCCCGAGAGGACCTCCCCGAGACGATTCGGTGCACCCTCGGATGCTGCCTCTGCGGATGGGTCGTCACCATAGGCACGGCGCGGCTCTGGAATCATCGGGTTGAACCTTGAAACTTCGTGATTCTCAGGATGCCTCTTTGGCATGTATGGCGCCGGGGATTTCCTTCGAAAAGCGGAGGCGGAACCCTGAACCGTCGTGAACTTCCATGGATTTTTCAGTCGCTGAGCCACTGAGCCTCCGCCCAGGCGTGGGAGGTTCGACCAGCCTGGCGCCAGACAGAGTGCGAGGTGCTCGCAGCCGGGGTGAGCTGCGCCGATACCGAAACCAGGACCTTCACTTTACAAACGCTGAGTTTTTGGCGCCTTGTGGTGGCCTCCGCTTGCAAGGAGCACCTGCGGCGGTTACCCGCTGGGCTCGATGCCATCTACGAGCCCACCGGTCTTCCTCACCGAAGATATTGCCGTCTGCCCCGGAGCCATGGTTCGAGTTTTCTCTGGAAGTTTTCTCGGACTGTTGGACCTCTTCGAATTTGTTCGAACTCGGATGCCAACGCGAAAAACGAAGTCATGAAGAGAGAAGCCCAGAACAAACCGTGTGTCTCTCTGCTTTGCGCTCTGGGACCCCGCCAGCCAAAGGCGCTGAAGATGACCACCGCGCACGGAAATTATCGTTAAGAGAGTTCACAAGAGCGTAAAGTGTCTCCGGCATCTTCCGGCCATCTGCTCTTCCTGATGGCTTGGAGTTAAGTGCCCGGCTTGTGTTGAAGCCATCGCTGGCAACGAACTGACTTGACTAACGTTCCCTGGTTGGACGCCGGCAAATCCCACAAGGCAGAGTGACCGACTCTGGGACGTTGGCCCGTCCCGTGCGCTGCTCGCCGCATCGTCAAGCCTTGCCACCATGTGCCCGAGCAAGGTTTTGACCGGTCTCTTTGGCCAGGTGACATGCAGGCGCGCACCGGTGAAATCAAAGGTCGTTGCTGTGACCTATGTGACACGACGCTAGGGCAGGCACGGCTTCAAACCGCCAGGGCAGCCAGCCCAGAAACTGGTAAGGCGGCCAAGGCACACCCACTTGCATTTCATCATTTGGAAAGTTACCTTCGCTCAAAACGCCTCGTCTGTGGTTGTCGCGTCTCGATTCGCGGAATGTGTCGCGACCGCAGCCTGTGCTCCTTCTTAAGGAACGTACTGGTGTGGGAAGGAGCAAGACGTGTGCCATTGTAACGGCGAGATCACCTTTGCGCCCGAGCTCTTCGACGGGCAGATCTACACTGTGCCGGAGGCAGATCGTGCGTACAAGGCCAGCGGAGGCTGGTAGAAAAGTTCTTTGCCGTCCTGCGAGTGCAGTGCGTTTAGGGTTTAGAGTTTGATGTATGCCCTTAGGGTTTAGCAACCCGAACACCTAAACCCCTAAGCTTAGAACTCAGGCGAAGTCCTCGCCACCTCTCAGGTGGTCTCCAGCGGGCCTTGGAAATGTGGCACCGATCAGAACGGGGAGCCCTACGCCGTAGATCCGGCGCCGTGGCACGTGAAGCACTGCTGGTGCACCCCAGCAACTCAGCCGATCCTGTCTGAATCTGTTGAAACAGGTACTGGCATGTGTGCCTCTGTGAGGACCATTTGCTGTGACTTGCAGAGGCAGAGATTCTTGCCATCCTGAAGAAGCACGGCGGCCAAGCGCTCCACAAGAAGGACGCAGCACAGCATCGGCGCCCCCGCACTCGCATCGATCTCGCCAGCCGTACCAGTCTTCCTTGCACAAAGCTCTGAAGCTGCTGAGCAAAATCTTTGCATCTGCTGCTGAAATAGAAGTAGGCTTCGGATCAGGGGCACGCACGGCGCGCTCCCAACATCGTCGTGCGAGACCCTGTCTTGTGGTTGTCAGGAGTGCGCGGAGGCTGCCAACTTCGACTTCGACGCCGCAAAGCGCCGTCTCCAAAGGGAGCCAGGCGCGCGCGCGCGGCGCGGCCCTCCGCTTCGCGGCTCCGAGCTCTTTCGACTTTGGAGGCGAGGACCTCGAGGCAGAGCCGCGGCTCCTCGCCAGCTCGCGCCGGCGCCGGACCTTCAGCTACTCGTCTTTTGGAAGACAGGGCCGCGACAGGGAGGGCGCTGCATTGCCTGGCTTCAGGCTACACGCCTTGGGCCTTGGTGTCGGTCCCCACGACGCAGGACCTTGACTTCGGTGACGCCCCTTCCAATCGGTGCCTGGGCGAGACGGCAGAGAAAGAAGTGCGGGGGAAGAGAAGATGAAAGAGGGCAAGCAACGTCTGCCTGCCTGCCTGCCTGCCTGCCTGCCTGCCTGCCTGCTTGTCAATTTGTCTTACTGTCTATGTTATCTCCGAATGTATCTGTCAGCTTATTCCCGTGTCCAGGCAGCTGACCTGTGCATACGAGTTCGGTGTGCCTGCGGCATCGTCGGCAAACTACCAGTCCGACGGGACCTACAGCGGCGATGTCTGGTTGGTTGAAGGCACTGGGCACTAAATTGGGGCTGCATGATATTGATTTCTAGGGTTGCTGGGAATGTTGAGCTGCGGCTTTTTTTCGGTGCTTTTTTTGTGCTGGTTCCTTGATCCAAGATGTCGCCAAAGAATGGGGGAACAAGACTTCCCGGCCTTGCTGGGTGCGCGCTACAGGTCGCATGGGCAGCTGTTGAGAGTCTTTGTGCACACTTGTGAGCCTTTTGCAACGATGCCAGTACCCTTCCTAGGCGAGGCCGGCGAAAGTTTGCAGACGTGTGCCGTAGCCTTGCTGGAGCCCGGAATCTTGCAGGAGCGGAAACACAATTTCTCGTGAGTCAAGGTTTGTTAGTAAGGCATGTGACACGCAGTTCGCGTGAGGAGGTGGCGAAAGGCTCTCAGACGCTGATGACCAAGTCTTTCTGGGTGTGCCTGGGGATCAGATCCTCGGCCAAAGCCAAACAAGGCTTCAAACAACGCTCTCAAAGCCATGTCTGCTCAAGTTCGTTCTGCAGCCGAGGCCTAGTTTTATCGCTCCTCGCCTTTCCCTCCCTCTACCGGCTGGTCCGTCGGCTGCAGCTTGACAGCAAAACGGCCCAGGGCCTCGAAGGCAACGGGTCGGGCACCACCTCTGGCTTGGATCCGAGGACTGGGGGGGCATCATCTTCCGAGACAGGCTGCCTCCTGGATGCGGACCTGTAGGTCTTTGTCGTCCTGTTAAGTACCACTAACGAAGCCCCTAGATGGGGCGGACCGTGTCCAAGCATCCGCTTTATTTTCAAGAGCGCGTCTGCCAAAGCCGCCCGGCTTGGCAGCACTCGCCTTCAAGAGCCACTGCCAAAGAGCAGCTCTTGCCAAGATAGTGAGAATTTTTCTCCCCTGGCGATGGTGTCCTTGGAGTGGCAGAACTCTGTGAGCTGGTTTTCTGGCGCTTGCCGGCGAAGTGGGGTCAAGAGAGAAGCCGCTCCTTTGTACAGAGGCAACAGTCTCTGGCCCTTGATTCAAAAGGGAAGGGAGCCCAGGGACCAGGGACCAGCCTGGGTTTGCTTCCCCTTGCGGCTCAGGCGTGGCCGGAGCGCGAGACGGAGCTTGAGCCCGGCGTCTCTGCTTCTCTCACAGCCACAGCGAAAATTAAGGGGTCCCTTCTGTGGCCTCTCCGACCCTCGCGAGGCTCTGGCCCCACGGAAAGCCGCAACTGGGTCTCCTGCGCCGAAGCCGCGGCCACAAAAAGGGGAGACTTAACCGCGGACCCTCTCTCCGTCTCATGAACCAAGGACCTTTGCAAGCCCATCGCGGGGCCACAGGCAGGGACTCTGCGCTTTTCGGGGAGTGGAGTGGAGTAATTGCAGCGGCTTGAGTTCGTGTCCAAACTCGTCAAAGACTTTTTTGCTTCAAGCATCGGATGCTGGCCATGGCAGAACACGAGCCCTTCTCGCTGCTATCGGCCGAGGCCACACTCATGTTATGCCTGAGGGCAGGCTTGACCTAGGAGGAGAAATGCGGAAATCTCTGCCCGGCGACCCTCGCGGGTAAATTTTGAAGTGTACTCGTGGGACTTGCAGGAGCTGCCTGGCACCCTGCAGCCTCAGCAAGTTCGCGTCACCTTCCATTCGCAGAACGATCGCAAGGACCGGACATCGCGCATGGACAAAAGCCCCGGACCCTGGACCCCTTGGGGGCTTCCCGTTATCGATCGACTCCTCTTGAGCGTCCAAATCCTCATCCTCATCAGGATGCATGCATGCAGGGGTGCCGGTGCCTACGCATGTAGGTATGTATGCATGTACTTGTGTACACCTGCAGATCATCGACATTGCATGTTTTCCAGGCCCACAGCAGCGACAGCCGGATCGAGGAAATTTGGACTGAAGCCGTCACCAAGCGACTTTGACGAGATGAAACAATTACAACTTATCAGGCAAAGCCGCATAGATGTTTCAGCAACTTGAATAGGCCAACTGATAACTGTACGACACCACGTTGTGTCGTCAATTTTCTTCCATGCTAGGCTGCTCTGCTATCTTATTCTACTTGTAGCTTTATCGCAATGCGCTGCCGCTACGGCATTCCAGGTTATGCCGTGTTGTATCCTCTGGTGTTGGAAGATGTTGCTTGTGACACGAAGGATGTCGCAATGCCATGCCACCCCTTGTCCTGAACGTAATGAGGTGACTTGCCATGATCAAGCTTTTCGTTTGCTAGATATATAGCCGCGAATCGCTTCGATTACGCTGCGTGATTTGACATGAGTAGTGTCCCTTCTCTGTACGGACTCCTCCTGCTGGTCACCACATGTCATCCCGTAGCATCTCATCTCATCGGACAGTGTTGAAGTGCCATGTTACATCCTGAAGTTTCTTCTGTTGGGGATTCCGGCTCAAGCAAGGGCTCTTCTCCCGGCCATCCGAGGAATTCGCGAATCTACGATGGCTCCAAGTTTCGGCTCCAGGGCGTTAGCTGGTCCAGGGGACTCCTGCAAGTGGACCTTGGCCTCACGGGCTACAAGGAATCCCCCAATTTGGACTGAGCCCTCCCCCGCCCACACCCAAGCAAGAATCCTAAGCCCCTACCCACCCTTCGGAAAGGGGTTCCTTAAAGGAGTTGCGCCGATCTACCCCAAAAAGCCCAGTTTTTGGGCCCCTTCTCCCAGGAGTATCTGGGGACCCATGGTCGGCCCTTGGAGGAGCGCCGACAGCTCGAGGAGGATGGGCTCCGAGACTTCGGGGACAAGGCACAGCCCATGGGTTGTGTCGGGACAGCCCTTCTAAACCCCCTAAAGCCTCCCCAACAACAGCCCCAAAACTTTAAAAGCCTTCGACCTATAGACCATTTTTTTTTGTGCGCACTTTCAGGCCGCCCACTTCTCGCAGGCCCTGGGCTGCGAGGCCGTCTTGGCCACTGCGGACGGCCAGGCTCGGGGATGAACTTGGAAGTCCGGACAAAGTGCCTTTTGGAGTTTTGGAAGGGGGGAGGGATCCTTTTTGAAGATCTGTAGGGCTTTTGTGCTCCGATTCCCCTGCTTGTGCAGGCTGTGCTCCTGCGCCGCAGCGGCCCCTGGGATGCATCGAGAAGAGACAGTTTCGAGTTTCGGGGGATCTTGTTCGAGGACTCGGGGGTGATTTCCCTGCAGTCAGGTGCTGTGGGAACCAACTCGGGATTGCCCGAGCCTCGGTTTCTCTTTTGGGCCTCGCGTTCGGGCACGTGGCGGCTCAGTCTCTGCGAGGTACAACGGACCCAGTGGACACCCGGAGCCAAAGAATGTGAGCGAAGCTCCCGCAGCCTCCTCATCCATCGCCGTTCAGCAGGAGCTCTTTAGGTCGGTTGTGGACGAGGCGGGGATGGGACTCGCTCCGGGACTGCAGGGTGGCGGTGTCTGAGAGGCAGTGGCAGAGACCAACGTGCCCCGAGAAAGCCTGGCGGAACCAGAGTTAATGGGTTTCATGGCAGATTCGACGGGCAAGCCCGATGTGCTCTTCCTGCTACGAGTCTGGGATGGACTGGGGGTGTGGGAGCGTCCCTTGACATGCCTTGCCCCGAGGAACATCTTTTACCTCTGAGGAGGTGCAGCTGGCATACTCTAAGGGGGCTGAAGAAGCCTGGGAGTCTGATCGTCTTACGCCTCTCGGCAAGGGGCAGGGCGGCAAGGGCGGGGCTGCAAGAGCTGCACAGCACAGTTCCCCCAGGTTTTGGCCGCTGACGAAGTTGCATGAGTGCAGCTTGCCCCTCACTGCTGTGACCCGAGCAGCCATCGCTTGCCTTCAGCTCCATTCGGCGAGAGGAGCCTAAATCTCCACCCCTCTGCGACCCCCTGCGATCTTCACGAGCGACAGCGTCACCGGCTTCATCTTCTGACTTGGAGTTCTTCCACGCGAGCCGCAGTTTGTCGACGATGCAATGTGACGAGCAGCCCCGCCGGAGAAGGGTAGCCAGTGCGCCATGCTGGCACTGGCGAAGCTGAAAGAACTAGAAAGCGATGCCCCAAACCGGTGTTGAAGCAAATGAGAGGATAAGAGAAGGACAAAGAAAGAGTGCTTACATTCATTTTACGGCAATTCATGCAGGTGATCTGTGCAGCTCTGATGTCAGCATTTAGACCGAAGGCTGCAGCTTTGGCTTAGAGGCGACCGTCTCCCCTCCCTCGGAGCGTCGGCCGCAATGCTGGCCGAGCGGAGTCTGGAATGCGTGAAAGAATGCCTGGGCACGTCCTTCCACCCAGACGAGTTTGGGAAATGCACCGATAAGGTGGCAAAGAGTGCCATGGTCGGGGGTGTGCTCGGTGCAGGCATGGATCTGGCAACAGGTGGCGTCTTCGTAGGTGCCTGGACCGCCGCAGGCAGTGCAGGTGCTGCAGTCGCCGGGAAGATGATGTGCAACGAGCAACTACTGCGCTGCAAGAAGGTCTGCCAGTACAAGGAGTGACGAGAGCCACAGCCGTCCTGGGCCCTAGGCCCGAGGCGTAGTCTGGCGCCTCAGGCTGGCGGGCTCTGGTAGAAATTTTGCACCAGACAAAGAAGCGATGCTTCGCTGGTGTTGAAGGCCAGGATGAAGGATGCCGTCCTGTCTGTTCTAGAAGCCTAATTACCTTGTTGGCATCGAGCCGTTCCTGCTATCCTGGGGCGCCTTCGCTTCCGCTTCTGCATAAGAGGCCTGCAGCCGCCGTGCTAGCGCACCGTTCCGGCATCTCATTTCACCGGCGCAAGCTGAGACATGGGCCGTGGGCATTCCGACTTAGTGAAACGACGCGGCCAGAGAAAACAAGAAGCGCAGATCGCTCATTCCGCCCGCGTTCTGGAGTCCATGCATGTTTCTTCGGTGCCAGGTGGGGTTTCAGGGCCTGGTCCTGACAAGCCGCGAGCGCAAGGCGGGCAAAAGGTGGCTGAGGTTTCTGCCGTTGGCTCGGCCGTGCCTTTGGAGGGCGAGGAGCTCCTTGCTGCCGTGACACGCGGGGAGCCCCAAAGGGAGCCGAAGGACAGACGCCTCGAAGCAGACGTTTTGGCGGAAAGGCTCCCGTGGCCAAGCGCGAAACCCGAGGCATACGAATGCGACAAGCGTCCAGAGAGAGAACAAAGCAGGCCGAAGCGAGCTGGTCAGGGCATGGTCTTGTCGTCACGCCGATCATGGTGCCTCCTGTGACAGTGACAGACAGGCAGAGAGACATAAGAGACACAGACACACAGACACGTGCACATGCACGCGCACGCACACACGCACGCGCGCGCACACACGCACGCGCACGCGCGCACGCACACGCAC